TTTTGACTACCTGAGAGGTTTGAAATTGACCTGGAATTAAGACAAAGTAAATCTAAAAGCAGCAATGCATCACTTTCTCAAAACCGTAACTATTTTGTCCTGCCTTTGCTTAACTAAAGATTGCTTCAACTCAATGTAAATGAGTATTTTTCTCAGTATTGTCACCAAAAAATCTAAGTCAGATAATTTACACGAACTGATTTAAGTGAAGCTCTAGTAAGAGAAAGCATTGGATGCACAGAACAACTGCATTTCCAGGCAAAGTCTTGCAGTAATGCAGGCTGCAGGTTCCATAGAAGGCATCGCCATATCCCATCAGGTTAAAGGAATTTCAGATACAGGCATGAGTGTCCTTATCACACCCTGGCAGCTTTGGATGCACTCCAGAGTGTCAAAAACAGACAAAAACTTTCAGGTCAGCCCTTATTCAAGTTGCAGGCAGCCCTACACCTTGCTCTTTACACAGGAGTTTGTAGAAGTCTCAGGGTGGAGTAACACAGGTCTCTGCTTCAAGACTAATCCCAAAGGACTGTCTGTAGGACTCAGACTGCTATGTTTCAACCCAAATATTCAGATTACATTTTCCAATTTGATCTGTGGTTTTGCATGCCAGGATGCAAGAAGTACCTTAGAATTTTTTATTTTTTTTTTTTAATCCAAACCTGGCCACATGCACTGTGCTTTGAATTTGAGCTGGCAGTGGGAATCTGATACCTTCCTAAAAGAACTGGAGGTGATGCCTTATGCTTCCCTGGCAGGGTCATATTAACTGAGTTGGCAGATTTGATAGAATTAGATTTCTTTTTCGAGCTGGTACAGCACTGTGATGTGTCAGCACACAAAGTATTTCAGATAAGTAAGATTAAGTTCTTGATTGAAGATCCAGCCTATAGAAATAATGCAGTGTCCTTTAAAAAGAAAAAAACCTTTGTTTTGTTTTCGTGTACCAAAGCTCTAAAAACAACAAAAAAATCCAAAACTCCACAGCTCCTGGAAAAATGTCAGTAGCAATTATATAGTCCAGAGACATTTTAAAATTGCATCAGACTTAATACCTCAGTGTCACTGTGCCAGTTTTTAGTCTGCAGAGGAATCCTCCAAAGGGACGGCTAAGGAGTCCACTGCAGCAGTTTTGGGGATACCAAGAGTGTGTGTGGCTGCCTCCATGCCAGCAGCAGTCCTCTGTCAGGCACCAGCAAGATGGGAAATGTTGTGCTTGGACCCTGTGGGCTCTAACCTGTCCCCCATTCCTCCTTGTCCTCCCTTCAAATCTTTTGGGATGGAAAGCTATGGAGTGCTGAGCCTGTACTGAAAACCTGCTGGGACAAAGGACTTCCAAAGAGATGGAAAAAGTACTACAAAAACCAAACAAAAAAAGTTCTATTGAGATATGTCCTCAGAGAAAGACAGCTACACTTCAAACATTTGTCACTAGGTTTCAATCACTTATGTTGTTTCTCTTTTCCATTTTAGGATACCTTGCAATTGCTTGGCAGAAATAGCTGTGGGACTGACCCAGAGAAGCAGATGTGGCTTGATGTGGTTAACAGGTTTCCAGAAACAGCACAACTTCTCTCTGCTCAAAGGTTTGGTCATCTCGTACACAGGACACAAACCTTCCTCTCCCCAAGGAAGGATGTGCACGTCAGACCAGATGAAGCAACTTAATCACAGGCAAAGTGAAGCAAAGCCAGGAAAGAATTGCTTTACATCCTCCTTTCCCCCAGAATTGTATTTTAACAATTACTACAGTCTTTACAATTGATGACATTCCTAATTTTAACTCATGCTTCAGAGCAAGCTTCTGCCAATACTTTGGGGGAAGTTTCTTTTAAAAAGAGCTCCATGTCTGTCAAGGCCCCCCATTTTCCACATTCCACAGTTATTTCACAGCTTGAGGGGGTTGTGACTTAAAAAAGCTTTTCAAAGTTTTATAGGACATTTTACACAAAGCAACTGCTACTTACAGAGCATGGGACACTTGGCAGCAGTGGGAAGAGGAGGTTGGGTAAGAGTGGAAAAGGTGACCAGAAGGGTGACAGCAGTTCCTCTGTGGCTGCTGTTAATTAGTGCAGCCACACCTAATGCTTTCTCTCACTAGAGCTTCACTTAGGCTCAGGTCAGCCCAGAGCAGTTATCAGGACAAGAGGGGGCCACAAGAAGTGACAACTTTGAGCAACTAACAGACATACATCCTGAACAGAGACCAATTACGTTGATAAGGTTATCATCTATTTCATAAGATAGAGGTTTGTGCCCAGAAAACACACACAGCTCCCACAGGGTCAATTCAGTTGCCAAACACATTTCAAGTGCCACTGAAGATACCTTGGACACCAAACCCACCCTCCTGAAGTCTCAAATACAACAGCAGGTGTCAGAAGACAAGGACAGATAGTCCAGGGCTGCTCAAACAGCACTGAGAGATGACAGCTGAGAAGCCAAGACCCCTGAAGGCTGGTGGGAGATTCCCAGCTCCCTGGAGCAGACATGCTGGGTGAACAGAGCAGATGCCTGCTGGGCAGTGAATCAGACACCAGGCTAGCCCACAGAGGGATGCAGATGTGCCCTGGGTGGGCTGCAGAGGCAGCTGTCCATCCAGCAGTGGCTCACCATTCCTGCCAGGACGGGAGAGGCAGATGGGAGCTGCCACATTCCTGGGCTGGCCACAGCCCCCACTGGTCTGTTGGCTGCTGCCACAGTCACTGTGGTAAAAAGAGCAACACAAACATTTACAACAGCATTTTGCCTGGAAGGCTGCATGTCTTGCACAGGAAATGTCTGTATGGGTCAAGGAGCTTTCTCGCTGCTGTAAGCAATTCCTCGGAATGGTGAGCTGACAGATAACCCCAGAGTTTACTTTCAGCTTGCATACCTGCAAGATAGATTTTCATTTCTCAGTTAGGAGGCACACCTTAAACATAACAGACAGGCTTTGATGCAGTCAGGCAAGACTGTGGCAGAGGGGAGCAAAGTATCTCTGCCATACTTCACCTTAATTCCTAGAATTCATTCCTATGTTTTAGTAACCTACATCAGGAATCTCAGATGAGTTCAAAATATTTCTTCCTCTCTGCTCCTTGCAAGCTTGATTGAACAGAGGCTGCTTAGCAAATATTTTATAGTAAATAAAAATATTTCATAGTAATATTTATATAAAATATATACAAAGCTAACTGGGCTTGCACTGAAAAGCTCCACCAGAGTACCTTGGCAGAGGGACTGGTTATTAAAAATAATTCTTTCACTTAAGAAGTATTGTAGGTGAAAACTTTACCCCCCCTACTTCACCAGTTTATCTATCTGCTGCTTCAGATGAGACACCAGTAGTCCTATGCTGCCTTCTGCAAAGTATAAAAGATACAGAAGACATAAAAAATTAATTAAGTCTGGTATGAAAAAGAAAAGAGTTGAAGAAATTCTACATGTGGCATGTGACAGTGTTGAAACAAGACAAAAAATGCATCCTTTTCAAAGTTCCCTCAGCCAGAGCCATGAAAAGCTCCACCAGGTGGTGGGATTAGCAGCACTTAAAATATGCTGTGAGCTGAGTTTGCTCTCTCTCCTTTGCTTTTTGAAAGCAGGTTTCTGCTTCACTACACTTTTGAAAATAGGTGCAAAACATGTTCTGAGTAAAAATTTATTTCTACTATCATTTAATGGCAGCATTTGCAACTTGACATAAAATATGTTTTTATAACCTAGAAGATGGAACTGCCATCTGCATGACCTTAATTTCCTCTCAAGTTACTCACAGTTTTACATAAACAAAAAAAGAAAATTGATAAGCACATACCAAGTCTTATATAAAATTATGTTCAGTTTGAAAAGCAACCTTCCTCATTTGAGAGGCCATTACCATTAGCAGTATAATCAAGTCTGGAAGAAAAACTGCAAAGAAGGTCTCAAGTTTGTTTCTGGTCAGGATATGTGACACATTCATACAAAGAGGGCAACTCGCTGTCTCCTCAGCAAAATCAGATTGTGCACCAAGTGAGTGAGCCAAAAGTATAAGTAATGCAATTTCTCTCTTCTTTCGCACTTTCAGAGACAATGATTCTACACACTACTCAGCAAAAAGGTAAAATAAATGTGTATTAGCAGAACTGTAGTTTAAAAACTTAGTGGTGATTTAAAAGCTGGTTTGGCTGAACCATAGACTGGGACTTTGTCGAGGCACAGGACTTAAACCTCCTGACACAGAAATGTTACTCTACAGCAGCACCAAAACAGTAAATGAAGTGAGAAATCAGCAGAGGAACAGAGCAGCAAGTTCACCACAGACCTGTGCTGCAGCTTTGTTGTTTCCAGGATAATCAAGAAAACACATGTTATTAACTAATAAACAAATACATACTGTTTATTCACATCCAGCCATTCCCTCCTTTACCCACCTGGACATGCTCTCAAGCACATTAGAAACTGTCAGGTTCCCAGATAGGTCCAGAAAGGACCTTTAGCACAGCTGTGCCCTGCAGATCACATCCTGCCTCTGCTGAAAGCAGCAAAGGGAGCCCAGGGCCACCCCCAACTTCTCTACCAGCAGAGCAGCTCTGTGGAGGCACTGAGCACAGTGGGCAGAGCACCACCGGCCCTGGACTGGGACAGAGAAGTTGAGGAGGGCTGAACAGACTGTCCTGTGGAAGGTACTGGCTGGCATGGGTGGCACAGGATGCTGTGGATGTAACAAGCCATCCCAAGCAGATGCTTCACACAGAGCCACCCCTCCAGCTGAAGCTGTGTAAATAATGTACAGGAGAAGCTGCTGCTAATTGGGCACCTCCCGAAATGCCAAAGGCAGGAAGACTCCAGTTAAAGGCAACTCTTCATTTTAACTTGTGTCACTGAAGAGCACTAAAATAAATGAACTCCTGAGGACAAGATCAAAGCAGAGTAAGAGACTCTTTTTTATATCCTTGTATCTCCTGTCCCTTTTGTACCCTGAAATTTAATTTCCTTTTCAAAGAGAGCTTTTGGAGCTTATGAAAATTGACCCAAAAGATTACAAGGGCTTTGTCACCCTTCCAATCTCGCTGAAAGATCCATAATTAGGGAGGTTTTTCCTTCAACATACGTGCCCAGCAGACAAAAATATAATTCAGACTTACAATTGCATGAATTAGTTATTTCAGTATACCGGATACGTACAAGCCCAGCTGTTACAAAGAGTTTAAAAATCTTGTGTGCCTCAAATGAGTAAATATACATCAAGGCTTTTTTTTTTTTACTGGCTTGTTCGCGTTTGTGCCGAGACTACACACAATCACACTAAGGACCTGGGTTGGATGTTTGCTACTGGGATAAATACACCAAGTACAATAAAAACAAACGGCTGACCTCGAAGAGTAGTTATTTTTGCTCCTCTAGAAATTAATTCTGCAAGCAGGAGTGTACGAGCAGATACCTAAGACAGCCAGCCTGCTTTTTGCCCTCTAACGGAGTAACGCCGATTTACTCCTTCGGCACACAGCCTACCCAGGGGAGAAAGAAACACCATGGAGCAGGCAGGGTGCGGGTCTCCGCCGGGCTGGGCAGGACCGGTCCCCGTGGGGCAGCCGGAGGCGGCTCCTCCGGCGCTGTCGCCCCCCGAGCATGGCCCGAAGGCGGCCCCTTCCCCCAGAGCCCAGCCCGGCACCCGCCGCCTCCCCTCTGCCTCCCTCCAGCGGGGAAATCCCGGCTGGATGGGGAGAAGCCTCCCCGCTCCGGAGTGCAGGGGGATGCTGCGAGCTCCGCCAGCGCCGGGGCCACCCGTTTCTAAAACACAGAAATCATTTTTCCAAAATCCCAACAACTCAACGACAGCCGAGTGAGGAGTCGGGAGGCTGGGAGGCTCCCACGGCGCCTTCCGCAGCGGCGGGGAGCGGGGGATGTGCAGGTAAGCGGGGAGGGAGGGAGGAGGGACGGGGTCCCGCGGTACTCACGGCGTGTGCGGCTCTGGCCGAGCCCCACGGCCGGACGGGCTGCTGCTGCCGCCGTGCTGTCTGTGTGTGTGTCTGTCCGTCCCCCTGTCTGTCTGTCTGCCGGCCCTGCCCGCCGAGCCGCTCCGGGCTCCCCGTCCCTCCCTCGCTCCCTCCCCGGCGCTTCCTGCCCGCTCATATAGCGCGCCCTCGGCCACGTGGAGGCGCGGGGCCCGCCGGCTCCTCCTCGGGGCCGGGCCGGGAGGGGCGCACCCACCACCCCCCCCTCATCTCCTCCCCTCAGCATCCCCCCGTCATCACCCCATCACCCCCATTTCCCCCCTCACCAACCCCATCCCACTCCCCAAGCACCCCCTCCGCTCCATCACTCCCCCATCGCCCCCATCTCACCCCCGTTCCCCTCCCACCATCTCCCCCCATCTCACCCCCGTTCCCCTCCCACCATCTCCCCCCGGCCGCCGAGCGGGGCTGTGCGGCGCAGAGGTGCGATGCGAACCCGGACCCACCCCCAGCGCCCTCGGGATGAAATCCGGCTCTCGTCGGGTTCTCCCTAGAGAGTCACCTCCCAGGAATGTCGGTGTTCGCCAAACTGCTGCGTCTGAAATTGAGCTGCGCGGATCCCGAAGGTGATCGCAGCAGGGAAAGTGGAAAGAAATTCGGCGCTTCTCAGGGCAGAAAATAAAAATAGCGCAGAGTCGATATTCAGAGTCATAGAATGGTTTAGGTTGGAAGGGACCTTAAAGACAATCTGGTTTCGATCCCCCTACTATGGACAGGACACCTTGTGTTAGAACAGGTTGCTCAGAGCTCCATCCAGCCTGGGTTTTGAACACTTTGATGGATGGGTCAGCTGCAACTGGTCTGGGCAACTTGGTCCTGTCTCACCACCCTCACAGGAAAGAATGTCTTTCAAATTTCTAATTTAACCCATTCTCTTTCATTTTAAAGACATTCCCCCTTATCCTATCACTACATTCCCTTGAGAAAACAAACAAACATTTCCAGCCTGCAGCCCCTGTAGATACCGAAAAGTGCTATAAGGTCTCCCCTGTGACTTCTCTGGGCTGAACAATCTCCACCCTTAGCCTGTTTTTACAGGAGAGGTTCTTCAACCCTCTTCTTTCTGTCCAGCATCAGCCATTTCTAAGTTGACTATAAAAAACTGTAGAATTAAAAAGAAAGCAGCATCATTAAAGAATTCCCCAGACAGATATACTGAAGTGATAAAGTGTCTGCTAAAACTATTTAATAAAGTAATGCTGGCTTTTTTAGTGTCGATGTGTAAAGACTGGAGCCATGAGATGTGTAAAGACTGGGGCTATGACTAAAACTGGGGGGATTATAGCACCTCCAAAGAAGCAAATGATCTCTGATCCTCTGTCCTCCACCCTCCCGTAGGCAGGCGAATATGCACAGTGAACATGCACAGCACATATCAGAGGGGAGAATGCATTCCTGAGCTCTGAAAAACATGTTCTGTAACCCTGGACAGCCGGTGCACAACTCCCTTTGTGAAACAGATGAGTTTACAGGTGATTAATCGAGTTACTGAAACTGCCCACATTGCTGGGTTATTAAATCCAGCACCAGGTACTTCCAGTGGAAACTGTAACGTGCTATGTAGGAGCTGTAATTCATCAGTCACCACTGAGCTTGTTTCCATTGAGTTATGTTAATAAAAGCTGGAGTGTGGATTTAGACGGTGTCACATCATGCACCACGCTGTGCAGACATTTGCATGGGGGTGAGAGCACCTGTGACAGCCTGAGCTTTCTGCTTAGGGAGCATAAGCCCAAACAAGCCATTCAAGGGACTCACCCCATCACTGAATCCTGCCTCTGGGATACTGAAGAGCAGCATAGTGTTATATCCTTCATAAACAGGGTTTGGAAGGGATTTAATCTACAGTAATGAGCATTAAAAAAAAAAAAAAAAAAAAAAAAAAAAAAAAAAGCACAGTAGTCTTCTTTAACGAGGAACGTATCAATACAAGGGATTACTATGTGGTGGAAACAGTCTATTAAATAGCTGTTCAGTGCTTTTTCCCAGGAGCTGCCTGACACTTTGCTGGAGGTGGCATGAGGAGCTCCAATTTGATCGTCTGTTAGTGTCTCTGTTACCTTTTTGCCCTGATGCTCTCATACTTTCAGGCAAATTGGTTGAATTTGGTGCTCCATTTGCTTCACAGTAATAGTGAGTGACTGGGACTGTTTACGACAAAGAATCTCTGGGGAACAGCTCACCAGTAATAGGGTTGTGCATCAGGTTTGGGGATTTCTGCCAAGCATTTCTAGGGGGAGGGATGGAGTGAGAGAGTGATAAGAAAGAGTCTGAGCACTCTGCATTTCACTGCCTGTTGTACCACACCTGGTCTGTCCCTGTATTCAACAGAAAAAAAAAATATATCTCGTAAAACAGCTGATTTATCTTCATACAACATACAAGTTTCACTAGGTTGTATCAAGGAAAGCTTAACCCAGCAGCCAAGAATATCCTAATTATTAATAGTTAATCAAGTTGACACTGGCACAGGTTGCCCAGAGAAGCTGTGGATGCCCCATCCCTGGCACTGTTCAAGGCCAGGCTGGATGGGGCTTGAGCAGCCTGATCTAGTGGAAGGTGTCTTGGACCATGGCTGGGGAGTTGAGATGATCTTTAAGATCCCTTCCAACCCAAACTATTCTATGATTCTGTGATTGAAGAAAGGGAGTGCGATATATTTTTTTCCTGTGTTTTCAGTCCCATCTCTGCACCATTTTTCTGGAACACACAAGAGGTAGGATATGGTGCACGCCTCCAGCCACACCAACCTTGGCCACAAGTTGCAAGGAGGAGATATGGTGGCTGAGTTTGCTCAGAAAGGCTCCCTTCCGTGAAGCAAGGTGGAAGAGGAGTGTGTTTGCCCCAGAGATGCCTCAGGGAGGCATGACACAGTGACAGGGGTGGAGCATGGAGAAATGGAGAGCATGGAGAAGATCCACAAGTCTCTGCCAGCACCTGAGCCAAGAGCAGAGAACAAGACCAAATCCACCAAGTGTGAACAGCAAGTGTGGAGCCTATTTATCCTTTTTATATCAGTGTTACACTCTCACTCAATTCCTTCAGATGCTCTCAACTTCCCTGATGCTCCCCAAGGAGCGTGGAGGTAACGAGTGCTCTCTGATAATGCCATTGGAATTACAGCAGGGTCCAACCCAGCATGCTGGATCCAATCCCCCTCATGCTGTAGCATTTCACTAGCAAGTGTCATTTAGATGGTTTTGGGAAAGAATCCAGGATTTGTTTCACAGACAGTATTTCCTCAACAGCTCAGTGAATATGGAATAGTTTGAACTAACCATGCAAATCTTGCTTGTCATCTTATGTAGAGAAACTATATCTATTCTAAAGTCTGGGCCAGGGCTTTCAGCTGCTGATGGGGATAGTTATGCAGACTTCAAAGGAGCTGTATCAGCTTTTACCAAGTGGGGATCCAGACCTTTAGTCATATTTTAAAATTCAGAAACTGTGCCTAGGTAAAGCATTTTTCTGAATATTTTTAAGTAGCCAGTTTTTTATTTTATAGCTGTTCCCTCAGTGGCAGGATTGTTTCTCAGTAGTGAATGTTTAAAGGCCCTTCAAGGCTGAAGGAATTAAAAATGAATAATTTAAAGCTGGTCTATGATGCATAATTTTTAACATATGTTTTACATGCCATGTGGAACACTCTTTGACTTGTCAGTAGATATTTTGCAAGCATGCTGTGCTGGAACCAAAACCTTTTTTATTTAAGAGTTATCTTTGAGCCCTCTTATGCTTCAACACAGCAGCGTGCTGGAGTCTACAAGCCATAACAAGGAAACCATTATCACCAGCACTGATCAGAAAAGAGAAGAAATGAAGCAATTGCAGCACTTTTTTGCTCTTACACACACTGCTAAACCAGATGTGGGTAGAACTATGGCGCTCCCATCTTAAGAAGCCTCATCCCAAGGTAGAGGTAGAGCAGCTGTGATTTGTTTGCTCTAAGACTCCAAAGGGATGGACCCAGGTGGTGCTGGAGAAGGAGCCATGAAACATGTTGTCTTTGGGTTATTTTTTGAAGGATGGCTGGAGCATTTTTTTGCCAACATCCTGTTAACTCCCTAAATATTGCGCTAGGAATGCCATCTGAGTAATTCTTAACAGTTTTAATAAGCAAAGCTAATTGCTGGTGAATAACAACCTTTTATGGATTTCATTTCTTGTCCCTTCCTGACTGCTTGCAACTAGAAAGGGAAGTGGCATCTACCCTGCAGATGCTCAAAGGCAGCTTGGGTTTCAACCTTATTGACACCATTCCTTGTTTTCCTGGATTGTCCAGTTTTCGTTTCTATTTTAAAGTTACTCCATATTTGCAGCTAAAAATAAATTGATTCAGTTACTTCAAAAGCTTCTTTGGCCCAAACCCAATTTCAAGTGTTTCACCAAGGCAATGCACAAGAAAAGTGCAGATTTGGGCTCATGTTTGCTCCCCCCTCATTAGCTGTCCCTTCAGTTCATAATCCACCATCTTTCAAACAAGCCAATTGCCATTGTGTCTAGAAGTTAAAATAGAAAATCAGCATTTGGCATGTACACAGTTGCCAAGAAGCTATTTCTCCTCGCCTATGTAAATAAATTGTCGTTCAAAAATGGTTGGCTTGCTCTAAAAGATGTGCTAAGCACTGCACTGTGCTCCCAGTGGGAGGAAAGAGGAGAGGATCCAGGAGTGTGGCCAACTAGCACCCCATCCCCAGCTTCTCCCCCTCATTCTGAATGAGTTGAATGGGACTGTTCTTTGCACTGGCCAAAATGCCATTGGATAGCTCCTGCCCTAGTGAACAGACCAGGAGTGATTACTGACCTTGCTGGTTATGCCCCCGGGTCAGGATCAAGCACCACACAGGTGGTGTCCTTTAAAAGATATTTATTGGTAATCTATGTATTTATATTAGTTAATGATTTGTATTTGGTTTGTATTTATTTTACACCCTACAGAACACACCAGTTGATCAGTATGACTAGATGTGAAAGAGATTAAATACTTCCAAACTTTATAGGTATGAATCTAAGAAGATTGACCACAGATGGACTGTGCACAATTTATTTGTTGTGATTGGCAGAAGAGACAGATAATTTATGTACATATGACAGGTGATATATGTGTACCTACATCACCTCCCCTGAAGAGGTTCATTGTGATCTGTACTCAAATGTGTAAGAGTCACCGCCCTTACTTTGTATAACTTGCAGGAGTAGCACTTTTTACAGCATGCTGACAATCTTGATAAGGTTATTTGGTGGCTGTAGGCTTTGCATAAGTGACACACAGCTTTATCATGTCTGACTTGGTCTTCTCACTGATTTTTTTTTTTTTTTTTTTTTTTTTGCAAACCGCACCCCACACTTCTGACAGACGTCACAGGACTGTAACAGCCTTTCCTGTTCCAGAGTCTTCTAAAAGCAAGTGGAAAGAATGCAGGCTTAAAGCAGGCTTTTAGATCACATCCTCAGCCTCCACGTTTCACACGACCAGGCTCTGGCACTGAGGTGCATTAAGAGCAAAGAGAAGAGAAACAATAAACAACATCCTTCCCTGCTTGCTCTTGGAATTCAAATGGTGAGAAGTTGCAAGAGCTCTGTGGTACTGACACACAGTCAGTGGTGTCAGCCTCTGCTTTGCAGGACCAGGGTGCAGGCTCACATCAGAGACAGCTGTGACATCAGAGGAAGATTTCTTGTCAGGCCAAACTATTACACAGAGACGTGTTTTTGCCTGCTAGGACTCATTAGTGCTGTATACAGGAGCATTGGCTATGGGTGAAGGTTGTGATTTGGTACAATCTGCTCTCAATAAATGTCTGTGAAAGTCAGAGAAACCTTTCAGTATTTCAGCACATAAAAACACACAGTAAACACCAAAAAACTGGATTTGCAGAAATATTCAGCAAATCTGGAGCTCCCACAAGCTTACATAAAAACCTCTCTGTGCTATGAAATACTTCTTCACTTTTGTACTCTTGGATAAATCCAAGTTTTGCTATAAGGACAGTATAAAGCCTGAGAGGAGTAATAAACACTTAAAAAATTTAAAAAGGCACTGATGGGATATGAAAATAGAAAAAAGTACATAACACAGGTAGGGGTGGAATCACCATTCTTGAAAATATTCAAGAAACAAGTTAATATGGCACTTCATGATATGGCTTAGCAGGCAGGATCAAAGGTTGGATTTGATGATCCTGGAGGTCTTTTCCAACCTTAATGATTCTATGATTCAACCTCTGTCAGGATACAGGAAGACTAAAACAATATAAAAACAATTGGCCATAAATATTTTACTGCAGAAGGAAGAAACGGCATAAGCACGTAAAATGAGGATAAAGGTAACTACGTGGCAGAGAGAGGCAGCCATGTGTACTTTGTGTGTGTTTCACAGAAAATGTAGCATGTTCAATCTCTCTTACATAAATGACCCTTCTTTGCAGTTCAGATGTCACCTACAGAACATCACAGAAGTAAAATAAACCTAATTTACCTTTGGCCATCTGGATCTCACAGTGCCTTGAGTACCATCTATTCCCAAGTACAGACTTGAAAATAAGTGCATTAAGTGATTGGGAAGTTATTAGCATTATGTAATTTTATTTCATTTCACTTGTTCCCAGGACAGTCAGGAATAAACCAGAAGGTGCAATTAGACCCAGAAAATAAATGTTGTTGATTAGGTTGAAGTGTTTATTAGGCTTCTGTTTGAGTTTCCAGCCCACAAGAAGAATGGCAAGCAAAGCCTGTTAAAGACACATTTTGACAAGAACGCATTTTTCTGTGGCTCCAACAAAATAAATATAGTAACACAGAAGAATCTTTTAAAAGTCAGGCTTATGTGCTTGTCTGATCAGCACAAGCTAACAGTTTCATCTCTCCTGAATGTCACAGAAGCACATGAGCTGTGCCACCATGCAGTTCTCAAGACAAATCCTTTTCCTCAAAGGACATCACACACATACCAAGGGCTGTACATTCTGTATAAACTTAAACATAAATAACAGAAAATGGTAACTGCAGGTGGACTTCATCCCCAGGGAAAATTGTGAATAAAACACTGAAGCACACCTGGCAGGTGTTACTCACACAGCTTAATTTAGTATGGATAGGCATTTATTTTGAATGGCAGAAAAGCAATATAATAACACAGGTAGGATGGAAAAGTTTGTGTATTTTTGCTTTCTTGCCAGATATATAGGTTAAAATGACTTTCCAGTCCATTCCAGCTGCTGAAATAGGCTGGGAAGGGATAAATAGTATGAGCAGAATCCCTCCAAGGAGGGATGGTGAATGCTTGTGCAGGGATAATTCTGAAGATCTGCTGTTAACCAGCAGCTTGGAGCTCAGTGCAGGACAGACCAGCTGAGATGCTGCTAAAGAAAAAAAACTAAAAATATTTAAAAATCAATTTCCCAGATGTTGCCTAGAAAATGCTCATGTCACATTATTTCTGCATGCAAAAGCTAGCAGATTTCTTTACTTTACTGTTGCTTTACTTAAAGCAACACCAAGTCAGCTGCAATGATGTTTTATATCTGATACTAACGAATTAATGTTTAGAGAAAATCTTGTTATCACAGGCCACTTTGGAGTACACCTCCCTGATGGCAGAAGAGTGAAGTTGTGCAAACTAAAGAATGTAATGATTAGATATGAGATCTGGACAAAAGATTTCAAAGACTTGAAAATGGTCTTAGTGTAAACCAGACAGGTGCTGCAATCAGAGCATAACCTATGTCTAAGAAATTGGAAAAAAAAGCCATTTAGAAAACCAGAGAGCGATTCATCTAAGCTTAATATATTGTGATTTCTTAGAGTAAATCCAGAGGAAAAAAACTATTTACCATCCAGAAATAAATACAAAGTGGGATAAAACACAAACCTGTGTTTATCAGAGAGACAATAAACAAGATTACCTTGTAGGTTTATTGAGACAAGAAATGATGCTCAGAAAAAGATTAATATAATCTATTGTGTTTACCTGGACATTAGTTAAGCAGAAGAAAAGATACCCAGATAATTGGCCGTTTTATTGGAGGCAAAGGGTAGAAGCAGACTGGTAGTGCAGAGTCCGTGTGTGCTGAGCATGGTCTGTCCCAAGCACAAACACAGATGCTGGATGAACAGAGGGAAAGCAGCCCTGAGGAGAAAGGCTTGGGGGTGCTCATGCATGGGAAGATGAACATGGGAACCAAAGGTGTCCTGGGCTGCATCCAAAACTCCATGAGGCAGGTGAGGGAGGGGATTCTGCCCCTCTGCTCTGCTCTGGTGAGACCCACCTGGGGTACGGCATCCAGCTCCGGGGTACCCAGCGTTGTCGGAATCTGTGGGTATTGGTGATTCTGAGATTGTAGAAAGTCTCTGTCTTTCTGCCCCGTTGCCAAAGAAGAAGCCATAATTCGTCTGTGCTGTTTCAAGGTTGTTTATTCTGTTTATCTCTAACATGTTCTGCTGCCCTGCCGCAGGTCTGTCCTGCAGGGCAGCGTGTGGGGCTCTGCCCTCAGTGGGATGTTACAAACATTAAATACCAGAAACTACCTGTGCTGTATTTACAATAATGTGCCAATATCTGTCACCTACGTTGAACAGTGTGTCCCCAGCCTAAACCAACAGAAAAATGCCAACACCACAGTGAAACATGGAGGGCATGAGGAAGGAAGAAAAGGACAAGACACACCCAATTTCCTCCATCTTGTCCCCTTTGAACCCCTAATCTAGAATCCTAAAATTTGACTTTTGCACCCGTGTCACACTTAATTATTACTCTTATCAAACACTCAAAGCTTGTAATTCATCCTGTAAGATTGAAAACTCCTCTCCATGGACAGAGATCACAGACAGTGTCTCTGGGGGCTCTGTCCAGGGGGGTTCCTGACCCCTGCCAGGGTCCCAGACCTGCCAGGGCAGCCAGAGGGAAACCCTGGATTCCCACACAGCGTGAAAAGGATGTGGACCTACTGGAATTCCAAATGAGGCTTTGAAGGTGATCAGAGAATTGGAGCACCTCTCCTGTGAAGACAGGCTGAGAGAGTTCGGATTGTTCAGCTCAGATAAGAAAAGTCAGTGAAAACTTACAGCACCTTTGGAGACCTCAGGGAGCTAAAGAGAGCTGGAGAGGGACTTTTGCTAAAGTCATTTAGTGATAGGACAAGGGAAAATGGCTTTGAAATGAGACAAAGTAGTCTAGATTATGTATTATAAATAATTGTTTCCCATGAGGGTGGTAAGGTACTGGAATAGATTGTCCAGAGAAGTTGTGGACGCCCCATCCCTGGATGTGTTCCAGTCCAGGCTGGATGGGAATCTGAGCCACCCAAACTAGTGAGAGGTCTCCCTGCTCATGTCAGGTAGGTTGGGATTAGATGATCTTTATGGTCCCTTCCAGTCCAAACCAAACTATGGTTCCATGAAGGTACAGACAGAGCCTTTGGTACTTTTGGTGAAAGTGGATTCAAAATAGCTTCTGAAGGACACATGGGAACATTTCCCAATCTCCTACGAACCCATGGGATGTACTGGTTTTTCCTGATGTTGAGGTGCTCACCTTCACTGCTGCAGCAGCCCAGCTGATGTACAAGGCTGTGCCTGCAGCCAGGGTGCAGAAACAGGCCCTGGAGCAAGGTTCAGTGTAGTTCAAAGTGCTGCACAGCACACCTCCATGAGGCAGGCTACAGTGTCACCCAAGATAATAGGTAAGGCCACTGCTCAGGAAGAGAAGGTATCCAAATAAAGCACAGAACCATGGAATCATTAGTATTGAACATTAGAGTTACCTGGACTGAGAGATTAAGTGCTGGAAAGCAGCCATCACATTTGAGGAGCTGTTAAGATGTCCTTTAGGGCAGGGTACACTGAGTGAACCTCACCCTTAGAAATTTATAAAACCACCTGCCTTGGGAAAAGAGCTCTTTACTTGCTTCCAGTTAGGAGGGGAAAGGTTGTGATGTACATGATGACTTTAAGCTGCTGGCAGAATAAAGCCCTGAAATGGGCAAATGAGATTTGCTCAACCTTGTAAAAGGAAAGCTGAGATGGGATTCTATTGCTGTTGATTGATAGGGAAGTAAATGTCAGGGAAGGGAGGATGTATAGCAGATGAAGGAGAAAAGAGCATCATGTGCAGGTGAAAGTATTCAGGCTGTAAATTAAAATAATGTTGGTAACCATCATATCAAAAGTCAAAAAGATGCAAAGATGGAAAAATTCTCTGAAATTTGCATATGGGGCTTGGTACATTTCTGACAAATATATTATATGGTTTCTTTTTTGAGAAAATAACCTGCCTTAATACATTAGACCCACACTTCCTTATATAAAGAAAGGTAGCTTCATGTTTCCACAAAACTTTCTTGTCTTACAGCAAGGAAAATGTGCAAAGCAAGAAACAACATGTGTAAAGACATGAGGACATAGTACAGTGCGTGCATCACCTCCCAGCTGCCCCTGTGATGCTCTAACTCTGCGTCACAAAAGAGTCACAGGAGCTGGCAGCAGTTCACATGGGGCAACAGAACACGTTCTACTGAATTCTCTAATATCTAAACTGAGCCAGCAAGGCAGAGCTCAGGGCAAATATTTCTCCTTATCTCAGAAACCAGGTGGTTATGGACACCAGTACCACCTGGAGGGGGCTGAACAAACCCAACCCCTTCAACCTACATTTGTCACTTGGAGTAAATACGAGACTGAAGAACCATTGATTCTGGGGGCAGCAGCTCAGGGGACTTACTCTGTTTGGCTTGCAAAATTGCTCCTGCCTTTGCAGATGAAATCCTTGTGCTCACTGCCATGGCTGTGTAGAACACAGTTATTTTTGAAAAGAATTATCTCTCTTTTAAAGACTAAAGAACCTACTGTATTTCCATATGTTTATTTATTTCCCCTGGAGAACAGAGGAAAAGACTGTTAGATATAGAAAAGTATGCATGTTTTAAAACAAATTTAAGACAGGGACCAGCCAGACATTCTGAAGTAATCTGATCCAGTCTGATTTATGGAGCAACACAGTTTATTCTGGTTAATAAATTTATTCCTTTAATCCACATTAAATGGAATTGGAGCACTGATGTTTCATAAAGACATTGGAGGCTCCCAGAGATCAAGAAGCCACCTCTTCTACTGTTGAGCAGTGGCTTGTTTCATTCATTGTACAAAGCACTTCACTTTGTATTTTCCTTGCATGTGTACCTGGCTTCAGCCTACACCCGTTAATTCCTGTTTCTGTCTGCTGTTAACAATGCCCATTGGAAACAAAACTGTCTTTACATGAAGGTCTCCTTTATATGTTAGCACTGTGGTCTGCTTCTGACGAATTAAGTGGACGGAACTTTTTCGGTCTCTCACATGGATATATCAGGCCAGATGTGCACTTCTACCCAACAGATGGCTGTACAGCACTAGTCACCATCCCTTTGGAGTCAGCTTGGAGTAATGAACCCTTTCACAGCGAAGTTCATCTCATCCCAGAGTGAATCTTTAAACCAGGCTGCATAAATGTCCCTCACAGCATTCCTATTTCTCTCTAGGAGCAGTCAAGGAATTCTGTGCTGGCTACCTCATATCACAGCCTGCATTACAGACTTCTGTACTTAGGCAAGATGAGTCTGACTTTTGGACTAAGGCATTTTCCCAGGTTTGAATCATTTCCTTGGCATCCTCCTCTGCACATCACACTGATGAGGCTTTGCAGATCTCCAGCAGATGCATGGTGTTATTGCTGATGTATGAGAGGACTCACTCTCAAGTGCTGGGGGTGCACTCAGGGGCAGCTCCTGAAAATGTGGTTAGGGAGATAAAGCTGGATTTCAATACTTATGCTGTCCACAGTCTGTGCTTGCTATTGATTGCACCTTTTTAATGAGTTGCATGTGGCTCAGATGAGAAAATGCCTTAATAATTATGGTCCCCTGGAAAAAGAGCAGATTATGTAAATATTGGTCTTGATATTTTTGTTGTGTAACTATTTCCCCTTTTTCTGATACTAAAAAGCATTGTTGCATCACAGGTTTCAGCTCCTTCCATCCAGCTTGGTTTCCAACATTAGCCATTCAGCTGTATCTACTTGCACCAGGCTCAGCCACTAGCCCTTCCAGACAGCTGCCACGTGTTTTATTGGTAAATAAATTCTTACATCTGTCAAGTTATAAAGTAGAAAACAATTAATCCATTCTTGATAGCTTCTTTTTACGTCTGTCACTTGAATAAGACATGCTAAGAATTACATACTTTCTGCAAAAAATGCCAAAAGATTTGTGTATCTCAGCAGGTTCCCTTTAATTCATACAAAGTGTGTTAAGTGTTGGGGTGTTGACCATCAATCCATTGTGGCTTATTAGGTCTGAAGGAAAGAAGTGTAATGAAAATCCTTTTTCCTGCCCAGCATCTTATCTCTGTGTTAAGAAAGTCTGGTTGGAATGTTCTCACATGGTAAATACAATTGATATATTCATATATTGCCTACTCGCATGGGTGGCATGTAGGGCTGAGGGGAATCTTCCAGTCTTTCTGGCTGGGAGAAATAAGGAGTTTTCCCAAGAAAATCCTGCTGTTCCTTATGGAGGTCTCCCACCACAAGCTGCAGGAGCAGTTCAGGTGAGTCCTGTCCCCATCTGTCCCTCTCTCCCCTCTGTTTTGCCCATTCTCTCTCCATCCCTGTGTTCTTCCCCCCATTCACTTACTAGCTCTGATTGCAGATACTTTCAGGAAAATGAACAACACTTTTGGACAACTGTTGCCATTTTTACTAAGCTCTGTGTCCCCACAGATGTTCAGGCCATCCTAGAGCCAAGTTTCAGCTGACATTTGCTCTGTCATCTGAACATCCTAAGCCTCCTCTTTATCCATAAACTGGTCTGATACAGATAATGAAAACAAATTCATTATGGCATTTATTACTTTGTCTTATAACTTGCTCTTACTATGTTCACAGGAGGAATGAATTGCAGCAGAGAAGAAATTCCCCCAAAAAAAGATTTTTCGTGTTGAATTTTGCTGTACATTATTGCAGTCAGTGAGCTGAGTTGTGCAGGTGATATCACACCACTCCCTTGCAGCTCCACATTGCCCTGAAAGTGATTTGTCTCCATTTAGTTTTACTCGGTAGGAATCAACTTCAGTTAAATCAATATAATGTGGGGTTACATTGGTTTGAGAAGGTTGACACAATGTGCTGTGATGGTTTAAATAATCATTTTCAAGATCTTTGGAAGCTGTAGTTAAAAAACAGCACATAAGCCAGTTTGAGAGCTCCAGATAAACTGAGTATTTTTAGTGGTGGATCATTGCAGGGGTAGTAAAATCTAGGCAAAAGTGAAATCTTGTAGGATAAATGTGAAAGTGTTAAAAACATGAAACAATTCACTAAGAATTCAAACCATGTCTGGCATTTTGAAACTAATCTTTACTTAGCTAATGTGATCCTGCTTTAAAAAAAAAAAAATGTAGCTTGTTAATTTCCTCACTTATTTTTCTGCTTTTTATATCAGAAAATTTTGATGATTGTCTGTTCACAGACAATCATACAAACAACCCTGTGACAATTGGAATAATGTTTCCTTGAGGATTAGGGGAATTTGTAGAAAGAATCATTGCTACATGTGGGAACAATCAAGCACTCTTTGGAGGCATCTTTGTTGCTTAATTTCTTTGTGCCAGTACCTTGATTTGTTTCTCAAATTTAACAAAGAAGAGTATGAAGCAACAACAAAAAAAATCTAAAATTACAATATAACCATATGGAAATATTAAGTTAAAGAAGTCTAAGCACTTAAACCAACTGTTCAGGGTATTTTCCCCATAATGTGCTTACATAAATCACATTCATTTTTATGAGAGTTATTTTTCAAATTTATAGACTTTTTCAGATGGATCTTCATCTCCCAAGGTAGCATATGCAAAGGCTGAGTGTGTTTCTGCAAGTTAAAGTCTGTGGAATTCAAAGTTTAACTCTGACACTGGATTTGTGGATGTTGTTGCATAAGCAAGTTATTAATGGAGTTTTGGAAATAGCTTTTACTTTTTAGTGCTCAGTTTTAGAAAGCTGAATTGTCATTTCTGAATACCCAGTATTCAAATTACGGATGTAACAAGCAATATTTGTGTGGCAGTTCTAGAACTGAACTGTGCTAAGGCTTCATCCCTAACAAAATCTGAAGGGGAGAAAAAACACTGCCACTATTTGAGCAAACAGTGCACAGAAGTGTTGCTGTTTCACTGAAATCCCCCATTTCTGGAAATAGCTTTTTTGAGGGTGTTGTGATTTAACCCTGATAGTCAGCTCATCCCCTCATGTGGGATAGAGGAGAGAAGGGGAAGGGTAAAAGTGAGAAGATTCGTGGGTTGAGTTAAAAACAGTTTAACAGGTAAAGCAAAAACTGCATACCCAAGCAAGGGAATTCATTCCCCACTTCCTAAGGCAGGCAGGTGTTCAGCATCCCTGGGAAAGCTGGGATCCATCTCCCTACATTGGTAGACAAACACCATCACTCTGAATGTACCTTCTCCCTTCTTCTCCCCCAGCTTTATACACTGAGTGTGACCCCAAATGGTCTGCAATATCCCTTGGGTCGTGTTATAGATACGTATTATAGCATTGGCTTTTCACAAATATTACAGTGGATTTTATATGTGTGGTGTTAAAGTAACTTTGCTATAAAGATATAGCTTGTATTTCTGCTGCTAATTAAGCTTAGACATAGTAGTGAAATAGCTGATATAAGTGTGCTTGTGTTAAAATGCCTGCTTGGATGGGATAACATCCAATGAACACAGGATGAGGACACCTGCTACAGACCTGCCAGCCAGGAGCACTCACTGTCTGAAGGCAGTGTGGACCAAGGCCCAAACTGGAAGTGACAAAGAGGAGCCAAAACCACAGCCAAGAAACACACATGCTCTAAAAAGGCAGACCCGAGGAGGGGCCATGTAAAATAGTTCCTGGAAAATGTAAACTAGTTATGGATATGCATCAGGGTCTATGAATATGCAACAGGAGGATGTAAGGAAAAGGTATTTAAGGGGTATCCCCAAAGATGACAGTGTGCTCTTGGATGAGCGCCATAACCTTTACTCTATGGTCCTTGTCTCCTATTGTCCTTTATTAAACTTTTTAAATTTGCACAGGTCAGTTGGAGTCAGCTATCCCTACTGTGCCCCCTCCCAACTCCTTGTTCCCCTCCAGCCTCCTTGCTGGTGGGGTGGGGAGCAGAAAAGCCCTGGACTCTGTGTAAGCTCTGCTCAGCAATAATAAAAACATTGGCTTTCAGAACAAATCCAAAACACAGCAGCACCATATGAGCTGCTATAAAGAAAATTAACACTATCACAGGAAAAAAATATACATGGGAATAGCTTACAATTTATAAAAATAATATGTCTAGCTTTGATTAACTATATCAACATTTATGTACCTAAATTTTTATATATTAATACTTAAATAAAATGTAAATGTAATATTAATTGTATTTTAATTGATATATACACTATTTCTCCTTTGCTAGGAACATATACTGAATGTACCCTGAAGGTTCAGAAACCAGAATGCAACCCAAAACTTTCCAAAATTTATTACAATATTGAATGCTATTTTAACAATGATTTGGAGATTTGGGAATGATTCACCTGTTTTGAATTTTGCTTTATTGTTAAAATCAATGAGGACCTCTTGAGTGCATTTGGGAGCCATGTGGGCTAACTAGTAGCACAGCAGGGAGCTGCCATGGAACAGGCAGGGTTCTGTGCCTGCAGATCACAGCATATTGAAGATCTATGGAGAGGCCCCAGATGCTCAGTTAGAAGTCAAGAAGCAGAAACTGGACAAAGCACAAGGTTCTAAGTACCTCACACATCTGCAGCCCAAACAGATTTTGCCTTGGAGCTCTTGAATTCACCATTAACCAAGATTTTAGCATGATTCCTTCTGCAGATGTGGGGTATTTTGGAGTTACAGCTTGCCTTATACTTCCATGTACAGCTCCAGGTTTATTGTATCCAATGAGAGACAGTGTCTGAAAAGTGAATCTAAATATATTTGTAAACTGAGAGTTCATCACCACAAGGCCATTGAATGAACAGCACAAACAGGGGAGGTGTGCTGCCAGCCAAACCTGCCTTTGGGACACCGGGTGGGTCCTGATTCATATTTCACTCAGTGCTTCAGATTCTTTGAATGCTGGTTCTAACACTGTCTCACCCTGGTGAGACTTGGGAACTTTTCAGAAAAAGGAGAACAAAGCTTCACCAGAAGGTCAAAGTGAACACCAGGGAGGTTTTGTCCCACCTTTGATGCTGACAGTGACCCACACAAGCACTCAGCTCCTTGCAGCTGTGAGAGGGGACCATTAGCTGCTGTCCCTCAGCAGTGCTGGGGGATAGAGATCGCCTCTGGAACATGCTGCTCCAAGAGGATTGACTCCTTAGGGATGGGCTTTGTGATGTGTGTGAAGCCTTTTCTCTCAGCTGAGAGACATCAGCTAACAGCTTAACTTCTGAACAAATTCAAAGCCTAATGTCTGCCCTCTGAGGCAGCAGCCAGGCCAATTTCTGGGCCATTTCTGGGCCTGGAGAGTGTTAGTCCTAACTAGGACATAAGAGCAGTGGGATGAGGGGTTTTCCAGGTCAAATCCAAGCTCCTCCTCTAACATCTCTTTCTTGAGTGCAGTGGGGTGTTATCCATCCCTTGATATCTTCACCTGAGACTGGGAGTTTAGGCTGGCTCTGTGCCCTTCTAAAGGGACTCATGCTCAGGCAGGAGCCGTGTGCTTGACATGGGAAACGCTGCTATACCTTAGCAGGCGTTCAGCAGAGATGACCACAAAGGCTCCTGCTGCCTTACAGCCACTGTTTACCCTCTTTTGGACTACATAATACCTGCTAGCATCTAAGCCTCACTGACTCAGAGATCCTCTGACCTTAGTTTCTCCAGCATCACACCCTTGAAAAGCCTTACAGCTCCCTGGATCTGGGTTTTAACTGATTTTCTTGCTAGCTGTACTCTAGTTCCTACATGTTAAAAAAAGAGCATTTCCATTTAATTTCTGACTGTCACAGCTATGACGTGGGGTGAGTTGAACTGGCCAGTGAACACAAAAACCACACCTACCCAACTCACTGTGCTGGTGATGTGGACTGGTGATTGTGCACATCACACGCAGACAATGTGGGCATACAGAGATAAGGAGAGATGGGTTGCATGGTTACAAAGGAAGTTTTTTATCTTTGAGGTCAAGACTTCTGCTTCCTATTTATTTTGGGGAACAGTTTATTGTCTTTGTTTACCTAAGGAGTCAAAGAGAGCTGTAACTCCCAAACTGCTGGGTTGGAAGTACATCCTGAATGGGACAGTTACCTGGATACATACCTGCTGTGTGCTAGAGAAAAGAGCAAATTCCTTTCCCATTTTAATGGCAGGTGACATCTGTACTGCCAAATGTTCAATGAGCTTTTCAAAATAATCACCTCAGTGTAGCCCAGATCTCATTCCCCTTTCCTTTTCCTTTGGCAGCCATGGAGAGGGAAGGGCTGTTCTGTGCCAGAAGGGCAGCAGAATTACAGTGCACAGTAACAGCAGCCAGATTCCTTCAGCTTAAATGGCATTAGAATAATTCTTTCCTTGCAAGAAAAGCAAAAAAAGGAAAGCTAAGAGGAAAGTCTGTGTGAGGGAGCATGGCATGTTAACCAGCTGGGTCTGTTCTGTCCTCTGCAAAGGGAAGTTTCATGGGAGACAGTTCTCTTCAGAATGCAGAGGTGTGACGGAGCTGAAAGCTCAGATGCATCAGTGCCAGTCCCAGGGGGATTGTTGTTGCATGATAGCTGTGCTGCTGTAGACTGGTTAAAACAATCTGCAAATTTATTCTAAAGTTGTTGCCTTGATGTTGCTAGAGAACTTGATATGTTTAAACCTCTCTTTTTGCAGTCTTTCCACATTCTCATGGTTCTCCCATCTCCAGGAAAGACCTTTGAAACCAATGCCTTAAATTTTAGTTTTCATATTTTCCAGATTCTGTACTGCGTTAGTATAGAGCTCTGAACTTCATATAATGTCTTAGCAAGTCCTCCTCACAGCTTAGTAGAACAAAACAATCCTTTTCCAGCCCAAGAACCAAGGACACCATTGCAGCTTCAGTCCCAAAAAGTACAAACAACCGGGAACTGAGGAGAGCAAACTGGGAGGATGGGACTTCATCAGATGAAGCTGTAATTGGACAATTAACTCAGTGTGTAAATGGGCCAAAACGTATAAAAGTGTGAAAGCTCATGACTTGGAGTACATCTTGGGTGTAGCCTTGGCCGGGCTCTTGTACTGCCCAAGGTGTATCCTTTTAAGGCCTTTTTAATAAATACCTACTTTATTCTTTTAACACTGTCTAGCCTCTATTCTAGGTAGCCTCTCAAGGCACCAAAACAGCTTGAGACACTCCTTCACCATATCCATGGATGAGCATTTTGTCAGCCTCACAGGTCTCATTGAAGAACTATCTCTGCAGCTCACAACCCTCTCCTCTCTCTGAGTCAGGTGTTGGAGAACACCTGAAGAGCTTCAGACTCAGTGGGAACTGAAAGAACATCCAAAGATATAAACCTCCGTAGATAAAGACCTCAAAAATATCCATGGATCTCAGTTGTGGTTTTTAAAGTTAAGAAAATGGGAGCTTTAAGATCCCAAACTTCTTAGGCAAATAAATTCCATTTATCTCCGAGTCTTCCTTTTTTTTTTTTCCCCTTTTCTTTTTTTTTCACTAATTTTACCAAAATTTCTGCATCTACAGACACTGCAAAATCTATGTTCCAGCCTGGTAGGCCGTGTTGTTTTGACACTGATTAGTGCTCCAAGCAGCAGGTAAGTCATCAGCCATGAAGACTGTTCAGTGAGCCCTCTCTCTTTCCTTCCCTGGGCACCACAGAGCTGCAGACAGGGTGCTTGGCTAATGGCAGGGTACTTGTGCAAACAGCCAGCTGTGAAGTGACACATTCCTGTCAGCGGAAAACTCTGCACATGTTCTTTAATCTCTCAACAGAGCAAACATTTCTGTGCCACCCTAGCAGGGAAACCATCTTTGTTATAGCACATCTGAGCAACTCAGTTCTTTCCCAGAGTATGCTACAGCACAACTTTGTGTGCCATGGGGAGCTGCACCAGGCAGACAAACCTGCTGACTGAGGCACCACTGGACACAGATTTATTCCTGAAGAAAAGGTTGAACAAGACAAAATCCTCATGGCAGCATAGAGATATCTGAGGCTCCAGGGAACACGAACAAGCTGCAGGGTAAAGCCGGTCACCATCAACAGCTGAGTGAGTAATTCACAGCAAACCACAGCTTTGATTAAGTGCACCCTTTTCCCAGCCACAGAGAATTTGCTAAAGCTCTTGGAAGTTCCCTACTTGCTTCTACTAATTACAAATTGAGCCCTTTATGCAGAAGACCAGTGAAAGAACTGTGCATCTGTGAAATGCCCTGAAGCCCTGGAAGCAGAGGATGTCACAGCATTCAAGGTATTTCAGAGACTTTGAGGACCTTGTCACTGCATGAATTCCACCTAATTTTGAAGTTTTGCCTTTTGCTGTCAAGAGAATAAAGCAGAACTATCCTTATCTCCTGTCTCTAAAAGCAGGAGCCTGGCAAAAGGAAAGCATCATGCAGAGTACATGAGCAACAAGGCTGGGAGACGTGAATTGTGTCATTGCTTTCTTCATAAAGATTAAAGGTCATCTGTGCTTGTCCCCTCCATGCATGGAGCAGATTTGGACATGGAGGCAGGCAAAGGAAGTCCATAGCTACTGCAGAGCCAATGCCTCTATGTCAGTGATATCCACATTCCCTGATCACCCAGCCTTTCCTACACGTTGGCTTCCAGTCTGGTTCTACTCCAGAGCCAGCACACTTCAGCACTGCAGGAAAAAGCTCACATGTGCGTATGGGTTTAGCCTAAGATAGTCAGGGAGCCCACATCACCATAGTAACTGCATGCTGTTGCATTAATTTCAGCAAATAAATGAAGCTTGTAAGTCAAGGGGTATTTATGCAGAGCAGTGCAGGAGCACACAAAGAAACTGCAACAGTCCTGAATGAGGCAGCCAGTCTTCTCTGGCTTCTTTATCTTGCTTTTCAGGAGGACTGATTGTCTCGTTGGAAGATTCCACTAATATGATCAGCTTTCTTTCTGTATTTCATGTGGTATTTTCAGACATGACTTGGGTATATCTACACAGCACAAGACTGAACCATGAAGGACCAACCAGAAGTATGAAAAAGTTTCTACAGTAATGTAGAAGCTTTTTTCAAAAACTGAGGTTGCTAGAGAAAAATTTAGCAGGTTTGAACGTTTCCCTTCTGACTGGTGATGTCTGTTTAGGAGCTTTTACACACTGATAAGGATGAGAGGAATTGTTCTTTATGAGGAAAGCAAGAACTTACCTGAGGCGGGCTAGGATCCTCATTTTGTTGCCAAAACCAACCCCACCCACTATTCTTTAAAAAATGAAACAAAAAATACTCACCAGGGCAAACACAGATACAGAGTTCTGGTTCATCCAAGCTGACTTAAAGACAGCCTGTCTGGGAGGGGAGCAGTCAAGCACTCGGCTTGTTGGCCATCTGATTGCCTAAACTCTCTGTGTCTGCAGGGTGTTGACTTCCCCTTTACTCACATGTTTGCAGAAGTGTTATAAAAAAGGAGAATCTGACTAATCCAGGAACTCTGGAGTCAGAAAGAAGAAAAGCATTTTTATTGGGTCTGTCTGAGATTGAGTTCATTTTCCTATGGCAGCCCTCACGGTGCTCTGCTGGGCATTGATAGCTGGAAAGGTGTTGATAACACAGCAGTGTTTGACTCCTGCAGAGCAGAGCTGGCACAGCATCAGCACTGTCTGCCCAAAATTCCCCCTCAAGAGGCTTGGAGTGGGCAAGATCCTGGGAAGGGACACAAGCAAGCCAGTTGGCCCAAATTGACTACAGGAATATTCTATACTGTGCAAAATCAGCTCTGATATAAAAGCTAAGAAAAGGAGGACAAACAGGGTGCTTTTGTTATTTACAATATTTGCTGTCTGGAAAAAATGCCACCCGTGCTGAAGTCTGGCTTCCTGGGAAGTGGCTGAACATTACTTGCTTGTGGGAAGTAGAGAATACATTTATTTATTTTCTCTTTGCTTCATTGCATGTAAACTTTTGATTTTGCTTTAGTAAATTGCCTTATCTCAACCTATAAGTTATTTTCGATCTTATTTTCCCTCTGCTGAGGAGGGGGAGTGATAGAGAGGGCACCTGGTGTTCAGCCAAAGTCAACCCATCACAACTTTGAGAAGAATGAAGATGAGCAGAGGTATTGGCATAAATAATAAATCCTCTGAAGATGGCAGAGGTTCCAGAGAGGCATCCACAACTTCTCTGGGCAACTTGTTTCAGTGCCTTACCGCTCTCACAGGGAAGAATTTCTTCATAATATCTAATTTAACCTACTCTCCTTTAGTTTAAAGACATTGCTACTTGTCCTGTCTCCAGCTATCCATGGAAAAGGTCCCTCTCCAGCTCTCCTGTTGTAGGCCTCCTTTAGTTACTGGTCGGTGTTTTAATGTCCCTTGAGAGCCTTCTCATACCCAGGCTGAACAGCCCAACTACATCAGCCTTTATCCATAGCAGAGGTGCTTCAGTCCCTGCTCTTCACCCTCAGGACTCACTCCAAGAAGTCCACACCCTTCTTCTGTTTGGCACCCCTGAGCTGGTTGCAGCACTGCAGGTGGGGTCTCACCAGAGCAGAATAGAAGGAGAAAATCATCCCCCTCGACCTGTTGCCCACGCTGCTTGGGACACAGACCAGGGCACAGCTGGTTTCCTGGGCTGCTGGAGCACATTGCCAGGTCACTAAACTTTCCAGTAACCAACACAGCCTTTCTCCTCAGGGCTGCTCTCAATCCATGCTTCTCCCAGCCTGTGTTTGTGCTTGGGATTGCCTTGACTCATGTGCAGGACCTTGCACTTGGCCTTGTTGGCCACCATGTGTTGTCACCATGTGTTGCCACTGCGCTCCTGGCAGTGCATTCATCCAGACATGGGGCAGGATACACCTATCATGCTCACAGCTGCCCAAGAAGTTCCTCCACCCCTGATATTTTGGCAGTGGCCATCTGAATGAGGACTCCAGGCTGCCAGAAGCCTTAAGCCTCTGCCAGCTGCAGAATTCCACTGGGATGATGTGCATACAAAATGGGAGATGGTGTGAGTTCAGCCCTCAGCCATGACATTCCTTTGAATGTTGGCTGGGAGTCTTCTTCAGCTTACTGGAAACTCAATCAACATCTAAATGACTACAGGTTGGAGAATGCATTTTGGGGGGCTTTAGCTGCAGAGGGCAGGAAGGTATTTTGGAACATCCCTGACGTGTAATTTGCATGGACCAGGTGAACTCTGCAGCCTGATTCATCATCAAGAGTATTCTGATCATGTCCTCTTTGCTTATATGCAAGATAAGGAAGTGGGTTTGTTTCCTTTTATTTTAAAAAATGTCATGTCCACCATCCTGATTTCTTTTCCCTGCAAAGCTATCCATTTTCCAATAAACCCTCCAGCAGCACAGGCAGTGATAATTCAGGTCACAGGTTTTGACAGAGAAACCACATTGTCAGCAAGTCACTGCTAATGAAAATGGGTTTTATTTCCTCCTTGTGCATTTCTTCTTATGTCCAGACCTCTGCTGCTTGGAGTGGGAGTAAAAGATTTGTTGCAGCTGTATCTTAGGAACCCTCTAAATCTTTGCATGGGGGCTGCCCTTTTGCTGAACTTTTAAATCCACAAAGTGGGGGTGAATTCAGGACATGAACGAGGTGAGCAGCAAAGTCACACCCCACACTGGGAAGTCTGGAGGAGGCATCATGCAAGAGAGGGAATTTCTGAGGGCATCTCCAGGATCTCTGCAGGGGCTGAATGAGGATGCAGGATGGTGGGAGCAGCACAGCACTGGGCAAGTCCTGGTTTCCACACAGAAATTCGGGGATGTTTTGGCTGCCCCTCAGCTGACGTGGCAGAGGAAAGGAGGACACTTTCCTCCTGTTGCTCCCACTTGCACAGACACAGATGAACATATGACAATGAATTTACAACAAAGCTGGCATTTTTCAATCACATCATGATGTTCCACCCCAGAATCAGTGCACCCAATATCTGTTTTTTCAGAAAATTAAACCAGAAGAGCTCAAAGGAGAGTCGGAAGATAACTAGACAGCAGGTCCTCTAGTGCATTGACTTCAGCCCTGTGTGAGCATCCTGAGAGCTCAGGGCTGAGTTGAGGCCACAGACAGGTTCTTGGAGGCAGTCAATTGCTACTGCCAATGTCATCTCTGTAAATCAACTATATCTCAATTGATTTCAGTGACATTCTGCTGGATTTATACCTGAGAGCAGACACTGACCTTAAGCACATGGTCTGAACAGGGCCATTCCCACTCAGCTGAAGCCATTTGGAGGTTTTCCAATGCCATTTGATTGGCATTAAGACTCGATCCATAATGGGAGAGTATATAATAGCCTGAGAATAGAATCAAATAAATCTAATCTGGGTCAGATCCTCAGACAGGGATGTTGATGGATCATAAGCCAGCTTAGTACAGATTTTAACTAAAAATAAGGACATGGCTCTTTAAATGTCTCTGTGAAAGACCCAATCAAATATTTGATTGCATAATAATAATATTTTAATTTGAGGTTGTTCCTCAACAGCACATATCTTCCTTGCTCATTAAAATTAATAAGATGCTTTCCCTGGGAAAGACAATGCCCACACCTGTGTTTCAGGAAGAAGTGACAAGAAAACAAGGATGATATGACAGTTCAGGAATGCTCAAAGACCTTCCTCACCTTAATGCAATGCAGAGTACAGTTTTGCACAGCTCCTTAGCTGGAGCAGTTCTCTCCCCTGGGCTTTCCAGGCTCTAATTTCTATGACCCTGTGAATTTAGTGTACACACAATGCGTGACTGATGCTTCTACACGGAAAAAAAACACATTAATTTTTTATTCTCACCAACCACAAAACTAGAAAACTGCTCCCAAGATTGATTGAAAGTTCATCCCTGGAAAGACATTTGACTTTGGTGGGTGGATTTGATCACAGATTAGGTTTGAGAAGGCAGGAAGGAGGGAGGCAGCAAAATGTTGGCTAGATTTGAGGAGTAATTACACCTTTTCCCTTCAGAAGAGAAGAGATTAGTGGGATACAAATGGAGGAGAGAGAAATGGAAGAGGGGCTATGGAATCCACAGATCAGACAGACTCAGGACTGATGGATACAGCTGCTACTGCATCCTGGGGTTTATAGCCGTGCTCTCCTCTTCCTTCTTTCCGTGGCCTTTTCTGCCAAGGCAGTGATGTTGGGCTGACAGAGATGGAAATCATTTCCCATCTTTGCCTAGAGGTGTCCTGGCAGTGGTAGTGGCTACTGCTGGGGAAGGCTGGATCCAGCAGGCAGGAGGAGGAAAGTCTGGCACAGCTCTGTGCCCCAGGTCCCAGCAGCATCCCTGGGCACGCACTCCCTGCAGGCCCATGCACACACAGGGCACATTTACAAATCCAGGACCCTCAGGCTACAGACACACAGAGAGCACACATGAACACAGTAAACCCCAGTGCTGGCACTTGGAGACACCAATCCCTTGGATCACAGCCCCAATTCAGTTGTTATCACAGACCAACTTGCTCACACAGAAAGCTCTTTGAGACTCCCCTGGTCTCTTCCAGCCTCCTTTGGTCCTGACCACAGAGGCTTGCTGACTGCCTTGCTCCCAGGCCATGTCACCTACTCCCTGTTTGGTCCAGCTCCAGCTTCCCTGGTGACCACAGACTCTGACCCCTGCACCACCGACACGAGGAGCCCATGGCTCCTGGTCCTGTTCCAGTTGCTGCACTTGGAGCTGTCCCCATATACCAGCACAGAGTCTCTCACACAGAAAAAGGGGGTTTAAATGAGGTTTGAAATTGTGTTTATTGAGAAGACAGGACAGGTAACATTCATGAGACACAGAGCATAGCCAGGCAAGCATAGTGTCCAGCAACCTGTTTACACTTGACCAGCCACTTTATCACCATATCCCTCTATTTTCCAGTGATTGTTCCTCCCTAATCCTTGCTAATGCTTTCTTTTCCCTGCCTTTGCTTACCCCCACTCACCAACCCTTAACAAGCCTTGCACAATCCAAGATGTGGTTCCCATGCATGCCCATGCAGAGACTCTTCTCTGTTAATGAGGAGACCCAGAGAGGTGCTGCCCACAGCAGGCGTGCCAAAGCTCCTTTTGGGCAGCCCTGGCAGGTGTTTGTGCCTCTGACTGGGGTACTGGCGACTCCCCCACATCCCTCGTGCCTTCTGTGGGTGTGTGTCGATTTCTTGGGGTCCTGATGGTAAGAGTGACCCCAAGATCATAAAAAATCCTCATTCCCTTAGCCCGTGCAGCCAAAGAAGGAGCCTGGAATGCCTCAGATCGCATTTTCAAGGTTGTTTATTTTTTCTTATCTATAACATTCTTTCTCTGACCTGCCGAGCTCCATCCAGAAAGGAAGCCATGGCATTCTGCTCTGCCCTGTTGGGCAGTGTTTACCTTTTATATCAAAAGTTACGTATAGTCTGTTTACAATTTATTACCAATTTCTGTCATCTATGTTAGACAGTGAATCTCCGCCTTAAACCAATAGAAAAGTGTCACCATCACACCAAGACAAGAAGAAGGAAAAGAAGGCTAGGACACACCCAAATTCCTCCATCTTGACCCCCTGAATTATATTCTAAAAACTCCAAATTTCTACTCTTCCACCCTATGTTAATTCAAATACCACACAACTCAAACCCTTGTGGCTTGTAATTCCTCATAGAAAATTTACACTTTTTTCCACAGGCTAAAATGAAAGCCACAGATGTTTTTGACTTCATGCCAGGGTCTCTGAGCCCCCTGCCAGGGTCTGGAGACAGCCAGGGCAGCCAGAGGGATGTCCTGGACTCCGACAGGTGTGGAGATGAGCTTTTTGTGATGAACAGTTACAAGGAGGGGATGGAAGAAGGCAAGAATGGAACGTCCTAGCATGGTGGTTCTGCATTGCTCATGGGTCACCTTATTCACAAATCCAATATGAAGTACAAAGAACAAAAACCACTAAAAAACAACAACAAAAAAAGCAGCAGCAACAACAACAACAAAAACCATGCTTGCACACTTCTATAATT